TCTCTCTCTCTCTCTCTCTCTCTCTCTCTCTGTTTTCCCACTTTTTCCTCCCTTTCTCGGGAAACTTTAAGATGCAGGCCGAGTTTTAATTATCCGACGACGCGCGAGCGATCGTTGGTCGTTATCGATAATAAGATCGGTTTTTCGGATCCTGCGACCACTCAACGGGGAACACAATACACGGCGGTCGTCCGCTTAATCGCGTGTTTCTTCAATGTCGACGCGATTGAATCTGGGTCGGAGCCTTCTTGCTCGATCGTGCGGCGTGTTATTTCGACGATCCCCGCGCCCAATTGATTCCGACCGATTTTATCGGTAATAATATACGGCTGTTTAATGGACGCGGCATCAAAGCGCGATCCCAGCTCGTTACCGCGAATATTATTTACCGGCGCGATGCGGCGAGCTTTCGATTATTAATCCATTACAGCTCTTATCGTGCCGTTTCGTCGTTGCACGGATGTTGCACGTGACGTTTATGAATTAACTTAACTCTCTTGGAAGTTGTAATTTTGAAGCAATTTTGTTTACTCAAAAGATTCTTCGACTGTTTCAACCTTCCACTTTGACTGAAAGAAAAGTCGCAGACTTTTAAAAGAAGAATCAGAATATTAAGGTTCATTGTAGATTCATTTTACTTCAATTCATTTCTAATGTCATCGATGATGCAGATAAATTGAAATATTTGTTATCTATTCCATTCAAGAATTCGCCCAGTTTCTTACCTCCCGACAGTTTACTGTCAAAAATACCAACGTATCTCGATAGGCTACGTTCGGAGGTATACCCAGGAAAATTGATAAATAAAGATTTATCTCGATGTCGTTAAAAGAGTACGTGCCTGAAAGTTCAATATCATTTCCCCGCTCTCATAATAGGAAACGTGGAATGGAAGTTTCGAGTCCCGAAAGCCGCGGCAAGAATTTTCACGCGCGTCGCGTATGAACAGCACGAAACGAGATATGACTGTGGGAGTCAACCATCGATCGATAGCCATCATTCTCCGTGATTTACGTAGCTCGACGCGCCTCACATATCTAACCTTCGCTTGTCTTACCCCGGCTAGGACATCCCCGCGAGTCGAAGAGAAATGTCGCGCACACGCTTTGAATGCGAATCGCGAGTGCTTGCGTAACGCTTCTGAAAACTTCGCGTCGGAATATTCCCGGCCCCGGCGTCGTATCGCGGAAATGTCGTCGAAGCATTTAAAAACCGAGCCATTGAAAGACCTTTTGAACCTGTTCGGCGGGGGACGGGGGAGCGAGTCCCGATGAAACAGCGTGATTTTCCGCGTCAACCGTTTTCGCTCGATCGTCGACAGGACATAATGCGTTCCGAGCGCACCGCGTACGGAGCTTCGAGGAGCGTCGCGTTAGGGAACTTTTTTTCGAGCGCGAATCAAGGGAAACTGTCGTGGAACAGAAATTTCCGTGGGATTGGTTGCGCGAAGATTGCGGTGGAAATTGATGACAGGATAGATTTAAATTTAAATCTAAATTTAAACTGAAATTTAAATTTAAATTCATTATTAGGAACGCTGTCGTTTGTAACATTGATACGTTCATCGGGTTTTATGTAAAGGAAAATATTGAATATAATATGTTACGTTAAGC